CAATGCACTCACACCTAACAATTAAAATTCGTATTGTAAATATTCCTTAAAATTAAATTATTGGCTTTCAACTTTGCCAAAAAATCACTCAATTTATTTGTAACAATGCAAAATTAAATTTCCCACTGGAAAATTTCCACGAGTCAAACTAATCTTACACGAAAATTAATGTGTCGAAACAAAACAAGAGTAAAATGTTTGTGAACTTGGTAAAATTAGTTATTTACTTGTTCTTTGTTCAATTTTTAAAGAAAATTAGGTTCAGATGGATAAGGAGTTTGTTTTCTTATCGTTGCGTTACCAACTTCCGAGTGATGTACTTTATCTCTTTGTCTTTTTGAGATATATATTTGATAAAATACCCAACAATTATTTTGCGACAAGATAAAGGTATCTAAAATTAAATTTCGTGTTGCAAATATTCTTCAAAATTAGTTCCTGGCTTTGAAGTTTGCCCCCCCCCCCAAAAAAAAATCACGCACCTTATTTCGAACAATACAAACTTATTCATTACTTATTAATCATTATTCGCAGGGTTTGTGTGAGTTATTCAGAAAGAAATTATGCAGAAAAAGGTATTACGAAAGGTATCGTAAAATACTGACTACGCAGGAGTCGTACAAAGAGGGTCCGTAAAATTAACTAAAAAATCGTAGAAAATTCGTAATAAATTGCAGAAAAATCGTATAATACAAACTTAGATTTGCCATGAATGAAACGCTTCTTTTAAACCGTGAAATATTTATGTGTAATTATAATATGTCAAATAATGTACTCTGCAATGTAAACCTCGCAAGTTTGCAAAGATTTCTCCCCATTTTTACAAAGATGATCAAATTTTTAAAAAAATTGAAATACTTTTACAAAAATATTTGTAACAATGCAAAACTAGATTTACCACTAATGACACGATTTACTATCAAAACATAATATGTGTAAACTTTGTAAAATTACTTATTTACTTGCTGTCTGTACAATTTTGAAAGAAAATGATATAAGTCCAGATGGACCGATGGACGAGGAGTTACTTTTCTTATGATTGCATTAGAAATATCAGAGCGGTTGACTTTTAATTGGTTTTGTAACATATATGCGAGTAAAAAAAAACCCAAAACCCAACAATTATTTTGCGACAAGTCGGAAAAACCTAACTATTAAAATTCAGATTACTAATTTTTCTGTAAATTAACTCCTGACTTTGAAGTTTGTCATAAAAAAATATGCAACTTATTTGTAACAATACAAACTTAGATTTTCCATGAATGAAACGCATCTTTGAAACTGTAAAATGTAAATGAGTGATAAGAAAAGTGTCAAATAATTCGCTCTGTAACGAAAACCTTGTAAGTTTGCAAAGATTTCCACCATTTTTGCAAAGATTACAAAATTTAAAAACAAAACTGAATTACTAAAGAATTATACCCGGAATACTTAATCATGCAAAATTGAATATCGCTGCTTTTTTTGAAAACTGTAATGTGAAATTATATGTATAATTTAACACTTAATTAGTTTTTAGTCACTCACCATGTAGATAAGTTGTGTTTTGGGAAGGAATTTTAAGAAATTCACTCGAGCGTTTACAATAAAACCTAAAAAATCATAATTTACGAAGTTATGTACATTTGTGTGAATTAGTTTGCATTCATTTTTCAGGAAACATGAATCGTGAAAATTACAATAACAAATTACGATTATTTCACGAACAGTCCTCGTTCCCAGGAATTCATAAAAATTACGGCAACGAGAGTATTTGAAAACCTGCAATTTAACAAAACCTAAAACAGTCGCAAAGTTCTGTAGAAAATTTATTTATGACTTTGTTAAGAAACTATTTAAAAAGAAAACATTTACTGTGATATTTGTAACCTGGTAATAAAATGCCGAAATCTAGGTGTAGTTTAACCTTTCTAGATAAATTTTAACTTTATTTGGTTACAAACATTTGCGTCCCAAATATTATTCAATTCCCTGATTAAACCTAAAGTTTAAAGTGTATAGCTTAAATTATTTCTCACGGTGTCCGGGCACTACATACCCCACACATCATTCCCCCACATTACATTTCCCACGTATCATTCCCCCACAGTTAATATCTTCACATGTCATACCAGGCACACCTCATTCCCCCACGCATAATTCCTTCACTTATCATACCCAGCACATTTCATTCTCCTCAGTTCATCCCTCCAGTTCATTTACATACGTAAATGGGAAATGAAATGGATAAATAGGTGTTCTATTTTACTTCTCAACATTAATAAAAGCTTTATTTAATAACATTTAAAAATTGTAAAGCCAATTGTACAATTTTTAGCCCGAACCAGGGCTTATGTAATTGTCATGTCCATTTGTCTGTATGTCTGTCTGTCTTTCGATTACTGTCGAACGAGTTGACCGATTGACTTGGAGTTTTTACCATATGCATATTGGACGAAGTTAGGAAACGGGTTCGAAGATGGGCGACATCGGTTCAGTGGTTGACCGGTGGGGGTCATCGGAGTGGGTGGGGTATTATGCACCAAAATTTCAAAATTGTCGAAGAAAGCTGAAATTCAGCACAGAGGTTGCTAATGGCCCTTAATGAAAGAATGTGAAGTGAAATTGGAAAATTTGTCAACCGGAGGTACCCGAGGGGGTGACCCATACCGATTTTTCAAAATCATCCAATCGAGCAGAAATTTGGTAGAGAGGTTGCTTTTGGTTCTTAATTGAAGAATATGCATAGTAATTAGTAAAAATTTCATCAGGAAGGACCGTATTGGGAGACCCCCACCGATTTTCACAAATTAACATAGAAAGCTGAAATTTGTACCAGAGATCCATACTGCTTTTTCACGAAATAATAAAGATAAGAAAGACAGACAGACATACAGACAAATGGACATGACAATGACATAAGCCCTGGTTCGGGCTAAAAATTGTACAATTGGCTTTACAATTTTTAAATGTTATTAAATAAAGCTTTTATTAATGTTGAGAAATAAAATAGAACACCTATTTATCCATTTAATCTCCCATTCACCTATGTACATGAACTGGAGGCATGAACTGAGGAGAATGAAATGTGCTGGGTATGATAAGTGAGGGAATGATACGTAGGGGAATGAGGTGTGTCTGGTATGACATGTGAAGATATTAACTGTGGGGGAATGATACGTGGGAAATGTAATGTGGGGGAATGATGTGTGGGGTATGTAGTGCCCCACAACCATTTCTCACATCTAATTTGTGACGTTAAACTCTACCCAAATTCCGCTAATATTCGTACCCTTTAAAAGTTAATATGTAAACAATCCTCATTTCCACAAATTCATAAAAATTACGGCAAGGAAACATCAATAAAACTGAATTAATTTACCTAAAACCGACGCATAAATTGATGTGTATAAAATTAATTAGGAGTTTGTTAAAAATAATAATTCCTGTGATGTCTTTAATTCGATAATAAAAAGCTCAAAATCTGCATGTCACATAAGTTTCTAAGATATTTCCATTTTGAAATCTTCCAAGCTAAATTGAATTTTTGAGCTGATAATTTTTTAAGGTTGCAATGCAAAGAATTTTTGTTAAACTTTGAAGCCAAATCAATTACGAATAATGTTTTAAGATTCAAATAAGTTTTAAGATATAGTCGACGTATTCGAATTTATTTATATTTATTGAATACTAGCGTATAGCCCGGCCAAGGCCGGGTTCTAGAGTTCCAGTGGGGGGTGTGCCCAAAGCGAAAAATCCGTCATACTATATTTTAAATAATTCCTAGTGGAGACTTTGTCATACTACATACATACATCAGACTGAGGGTTTGCCCAAGTCATACTGCATTTTAATTAACCTGGTCACAGTAAAATTTGATTCCCCCCTGTGGGAGTAGTTGAATAGCTAATTACTTAAATTCTCGTCGCGTGGGAGTAACTCCATAGCTAACTATTTAAATTCCCACGCTTCACGCTCCCGTTAAGTTCCATAAACCCCGTTAACTTCTACAATTAACGCCAAGCTATTGACGGATTCGGATTCAGCGTCAAAAATACATTCGAATTGATATGCGACATCACGAATAAGCCAGATTTGGACACCACGGTCACGGCGAGGTCACGGGGGCCTCGCAGGTCAAAACCATTGACGGCGTTGGATTCAGCGTCAAAAATACATTCGAATTGACATGCCACTCGCTGTGGGTAGAGTTTCTCAAACTAAAATAATTAATTAATAGTGTTTATCACGATCACTTATCATGATAACCACTATTGATGAGTGATGTATGTATGTGGGGTGTACATGTTCATGTATTCATTTATTCATGCAGTGCAGTGCATGCATGCAGTGGTTGCTCCGCTTCCTTCTTTGTCTACTGTACTGTGGATGAAGTTCTAACCCTGCAGACTTATTACACCGCTTTGTAGCATTAATTTCACGACGTCACCGGTCAAAAAAATTTTTTCCTCCAAACTGGTCCAAAATAAAAGTCTAGCATGGGAATAGTATAGAAAAATTATTTTTAGCGTTCTATGACCCCTGGGTCATGAATTAAGGGCCCCTGAAGGGTCAAATAGCGTTCCCTGATAACCCCATGCAAATGGGGTATCAAATTAATCCCCTGGACCAGGGGAACCAGAAAAATATTTTTATAAATTTTTATGACCCTTGAGTCGTGAACTAGGAGCCCTTGAAGGGTTAAATATCATTCCCTCACAACTAAAGGCAAGTGGGGTATCAAATTAATCCCCTGGACAAGGGGAACCCAAAAAATATTTTTCTGGATTTTTTTGACCCTCAGGTCAAGAGTTAAGGGCCCCCGAAGGGTCAAAATAGTAACCATGGTAACCCCATGCAAGTGGGGTATCAAATTAATCCCCTGGCAAAGGGCAAGCATAAAAATATTTTCCTGAATTTTTTTGACCTATCGGGCAACAGTTAAGGGTCCCTGAAGGGTCAACATAGTAACCATGGTAACTAAGGTGAATGGGGTATCAAATTAATCCCCTGGACCAGGGGAATCAGAAAAATATTTTTTGGTTTTTGTGACGTATAGGTCAAGAGTTAAGGGCCCCTGAAGGGTCAAATAATAACTTATTGTATTTTACTAAACGGGACATTATTTTAAAGTTTTCAGTTTTGCAAGAATGTTAAGTAGAGAGGGGTAGGCATATTTTTGAAAATTTCGTACAAATTTAATGAATAATAATTCTTAACACTATGTACAAATCGGATTCACTATTTATAATATTTATTATGTATTGAATCCATTGAAGTTAAAATCTAGGTTGATTCTGGTGGGAAGGTTAATCTCCTCCTAGAAGTTGCACATTCTTCTTCAGGCAAGTCTTCTTCTTCCCCAGCCTGTGAGTATTCAATATCATTGTGTATTTGCATTCGGAATCTATCAACTACTTCGTCAACATCGTCAGGGTCCTCATCTTCGTCGTCAGACACATCATCTGCTGCTGTAATCTGTATATTATGTATAAGTTATGTATTTTTTTACTAATAGTTTACTGTCACCAAGAACTCACTCGAATGGGGTTGGCTGAAGCTACACGTGTTTGGAAGTCATCAAGGAAGTCATCAAAATGTCCATCATTTTTCCAATACTCGTCCTCCAATCTATTTACAATAATAATGTAGAAATTGCGAATTATTCCCATAATAGCGAATCTTGGTTTTACGAACCGGTGCACATGTTTGATGTGTTTCTGCCATTGTTCCTTTGTGTATGTTGTCATAATTCTCTCAGCCTCAGCTTGTGCAAACTCAGCGGTCCCCTGTGTGTTTGCAGCCCTAACTGCGTGCTTGATGTCTTTCCACACGTACTCAATTGGGTTCAAGTCGCTAAAAATAGTTATTACATGAATATTCTTATTACCGTTACCTATGATTACCAGTTCTTACCAGTTATATGGGGGTAATCTGGAAAATACGTAAATACAGTGTTTAAATAAATATTACAAATTATTAGTAAATTACCCATGAATAGAAAATAACTTTACCGGACAACAGTGTTTCCATATTTCAATGCCTCCTTATCCACAATGTAATATTCATTTCCGTTTTTAAGGTCTTGAACCATTTTCCATAATTCAGGTCGTCTCATTTGCTTTACAGGTTTTAGTTTCAGCTTTTCAGGGCCCTCTAAATTATCATTCAGCCAGTCGTATAGCTCTTGTTTTCGGGATGTAGATTTTGGGGCTTCCTTGGTGCTGTGATACGGAGCTGACAAATTTAAATAAATGAAATTCAAATTAAAATGGAATTTACAAATACAAATTATTGGATGATATTACCGTTATCAATAACAATTATGCATGGACCATAATTATCTTTTATCTTTTGATTAAGATCCTTCCACCAAGCCATGTAAGCGACACCGTTAACGTTTGCGTGGTAATCCATCTGGACTTTCTTCTTTGATACTGGATATACCTTCATAGCGCCAGGTACGAATCCATCCTCTCCACCTGTGAAGATAATTATTATTTTGAAATAATTTCCTATTTAATGTGGATAGTTGAACTGCACCTGCATGCATCACAATGATACGTGGTCCTCTAGAAATTTTCGGGTTTTGGAAGGAGTATAAAGCCGCTTCATGAAATGACTTTGGTGAATTAATAACCCAGCCTTTTCCAGTTCTAGCATAACTATCGACCCACGTTTCATCTGAATAAATATAATGCATTAATAATTATATTAAATTAAATTAAAACATTTTTGATATTTAATCAGCCAAACCTGTGTAGACAACACATTTTGGGTTCTCGGACTGACGATTTTTAATCATTACGGACAGATATTCATATCGCTTCTGCACGATGTCTGATCTCATGAGGATAACTGCTCGCTTATCAACAGTTTTGAATCTAAATCCTAATTGCTTAATGAGTTTTCTTAACGTCCACTTGGAACATTTGAACGCTGTAAGAGTTTCTCCTCGGGCTATCCGACCATCTTCTTCTTCCTTGACTTCCTCCATCAGTTTTGTGTATACGTTATGCATTGTTGGTGCTTGATTATTAGCATAGAATTGATGAATGATTCGTTTAACGTGCTCAGTTCGGAAGTCGTCAAACTGATCCATCACTGGCGTTGGTCTAATACGTTTCTTACCAGGTGTTTTTATACTATTCGTTTTGTAATTCTCCATTGTCTGATAAACTGTTCTCTCTCCAATTCCTAGAATCTGGCTAGTTTTGGTGACAGAGTTTCCTGTTAGTATTTCACACTGTACCTGGTTACTGTCAAAGAATACTTTGGCGTTGACAATTAACTTTTGAGCTGTCGCCTGTAGTGAAACACCAAGTAGTTGGAATGGGAGTTTAGTATTTGGTTGTTTACAGTCGTTTTTCGCTTTCGGTGTTGCTTTCTCAATTTCAAAGGCTAATTGTTGCATAGGAAAACTCGTAGGACTGCACCTCGAAAGACTAAGGTAAGGTTTGGTTCCATCATTCCGTCTAGGAACATCAGATAAAGGAATTCGCATTTCACCTTCCCCCAATACCTGTTCTTTAGCTCTGAGAAGGGAATAGAAATATCCACACTCAGAATCCGGACAAGGAGGACCAACAATTAGGACATCTTGAATGAACTCGTTTATAAGGTTCATCTTTTCGTCGTTTATGGGGGTTGGGAGATAGCCTACCGTGTCACTGCCGGGTGGAACATTTTGGATTAATGAAAAAGATTGAACTGCTTGATGAAATTGCCCTTGATTGTGTCCGAAGTGAAGTAAAATTATGCAGTACGTCAATGACTCGGCAGGTAAGATTCCTTCGAGATGGTCACTAGTAATCTGGCTGTCAGAAAACAACATATCTGGTGCAACTTGTTTCGATCCGAGGACAAAGTAGAAATTTTTTATTTTGCGTTGCGTAGTTTGTTTCTCTTGTATGATTGAGAAGATCTTGTTCTGGAAAGATGCGTACATTACTTGGTGGATAGTCATCCCGCCCACAAGGATTATTTCAACGAATCCGTTAAGTGAATTAGTTTTTGGAGGACGAGCGCCTGGGCAAATACGAACATGTTCAATAAACGAAATCTGGTTATCATCATTCTTGGTTTCAAATTCGTTCAAAATCATCCTACATCCCCCTTTGTAAGGGGCCGTTGGGTAAATGTCTGTTCCCACACATGTATCTTCACCTTCTGTACTCTTGGATGCATACTCTGTATTTGAAGTGTCCATTGGTGATTCACCGCCAGGAGCTGACCCTTCCCCTAACTCTTCACGTTGTCCACAGTGCCCACGTTCATCATCTCCTTCACCATCCTCCTGTATTGATCAGAACAAAAACGTACATGAGCTTGTTACTACAATAACAATTTCACGATGTCCCCCACAACATCCGCGGTCGCTGCTATTTATAAATATGTTGCAATATTTCTCACAAGTGCGTCTGCATTGGTGTCCATTTCATCCACATTTGAGCATGGCATGACGAGGGAATTCATGTCAGACTGTTTTTGCTAAAAGTGATAAACTTGTATGAAATGCGTCTGTGCTCTCAGACAATAAATCGATGAATCTGAGCTAGCATTAATAGTGCAAAAATATAATCTTACATCGATATGCGGTGGATTTACATTAGTTTCTGGATCCACCGTGTAGCAGCTCCCTAGCCAAATATTTTGCAGAATACTTATCCACTTTGACTCCTGAGCTTGGCCTTCCCAGATGGCACGAGCAGTTGTTAGTGTTCCTGCTGAAGTTTTATCGTACACCGTTTCATGTGCAAAATGCAAAGTTAAACTGGGATAAAATCCTGCTGGGTAGAAATATAAGAAGGATGTATAGGACCCTCCAATTTGACTTTCGAAATATTTTTTGGCACTCATTGCGGCCGCAAAAAGTGGGAACAGATCTTTTCGATGTAATTGCACAGTAGTTAGAAGTGCCTCGTCTGCCTCTGATGGTAGAACCCCTAGCAAATAATCGACGTCATGTTTGCGGCATGCTGCATCTGTGAATAATATCAACACAAAAATTATAAAATTAATTTTCACAAATTTGACTTGGTTAGTGTATGAGCATAAATTGGGCAACAATTACCAACAGCATTTATTGGGCCACCGAGATCATCCTGCTTCTCAATATCGGTGGCAGGCCCGCAATATCTTAATTAATACCAATAATAAAATTATGTTAATAAAGAATCATTTCATAAAGATTCCAATCGCAACTTCAAAAATAAAAAAACTCATCCAAAATAACCAATTACCTATATCCAGGGAGATTGAAAGGTAATCCGCTTGGCGCCTTTTTAACTTTAGCTTTCTCCAAGGAAAGTATAATACCACGTGGGCGTCGGAGAGATCCAGGATGGAAAAATGCATCTTGACGAAGATGAAAGCAAGATGGCAATTTACCTTCGTTGGTAGGAATAAACGTGTGCTTTCTGGCAAAGAAGGCTGAATGCAGGAGACTTGTGTAGTTGAACCTGATGCATGATATTTGGTTGCACAGAATTAGAACTGTGCATGCAGAAGGAAGAGGAGTAGTGCCTTGAATAGCTTTAGTTACTGCTTGCTTGGTGGTACAGTTCTTCGTTTCAGCCGCTATATTACAATAAGTGTCACTAATTTTTTCCTGAGTTAAGTCGGATAGTTTATTGGATGGAAATGTGTGGTTGGCGTTTGAAATTGTGATGTTATTTAGTAGATAACGGCTGGCATCCACGAAACTTTTAAAATAAAAAGTTACATAGCTTTCACTTCCCCATACCCGTATCTTTTTATTTTCATACTCTACTTCTTCAATTTTGATAGTGTCACTGAAGAACATAACAGTTTCATTAATTTCCATACACATCGTTTGATTACATATCAGAAATCCACTGCAATTGGATGGTAATGTCTCCTTGAACCAGATAACCAATCCACCCAGGTTATCCGTCTCATCACACACAACTTTAACCTGTTTATCTATTTCTATTTTATCGACATTCGCGCAACTTTTACCACAAACACAATGAACTATATATAACACATACAGTGTTCCATAAATTAAGTTATGCAACGTCATCTTCAATTTTAAAAATTAATAATTGAGCGGATACCAGTAAGTACAAACTCCAAAACTTAAATTTCAAAATGTCGACTGGAGAAGCCAGCAAGGATAAGGGGTCTCCCATCACCTCATATATTTATAATGCATCAGTTTTTAGGGGATATTCATCACCCCAACCATTAACCCAATCCTTCCCCAAACAAGATGGTGCATAAAGATATGTATATGAGAAAGGGACCAGTTTATACAAACATAAGTATGCTGCCTGAGACAGGATATGAAGCCTGGTTACCATGGTTACTATGTTGACCCTTCAGGGACCCTTAACTCTTGACCTATAGGTCAAAAAAATTCAGTTATCCTCATGAGATCAGACATCGTGCAGAAGCGATATGAATATCTGTCCGTAATGATTAAAAATCGTCAGTCCGAGAACCCAAAATGTGTTGTCTACACAGGTTTGGCTGATTAAATATCAAAAATGTTTTAATTTAATTTAATATAATTATTAATGCATTATATTTATTCAGATGAAACGTGGGTCGATAGTTATGCTAGAACTGGAAAAGGCTGGGTTATTAATTCACCAAAGTCATTTCATGAAGCGGCTTTATACTCCTTCCAAAACCCGAAAATTTCTAGAGGACCACGTATCATTGTGATGCATGCAGGTGCAGTTCAACTATCCACATTAAATAGGAAATTATTTCAAAATAATAATTATCTTCACAGGTGGAGAGGATGGATTCGTACCTGGCGCTATGAAGGTATATCCAGTATCAAAGAAGAAAGTCCAGATGGATTACCACGCAAACGTTAACGGTGTCGCTTACATGGCTTGGTGGAAGGATCTTAATCAAAAGATAAAAGATAATTATGGTCCATGCATAATTGTTATTGATAACGGTAATATCATCCAATAATTTGTATTTGTAAATTCCATTTTAATTTGAATTTCATTTATTTAAATTTGTCAGCTCCGTATCACAGCACCAAGGAAGCCCCAAAATCTACATCCCGAAAACAAGAGCTATACGACTGGCTGAATGATAATTTAGAGGGCCCTGAAAAGCTGAAACTAAAACCTGTAAAGCAAATGAGACGACCTGAATTATGGAAAATGGTTCAAGACCTTAAAAACGGAAATGAATATTACATTGTGGATAAGGAGGCATTGAAATATGGAAACACTGTTGTCCGGTAAAGTTATTTTCTATTCATGGGTAATTTACTAATAATTTGTAATATTTATTTAAACACTGTATTTACGTATTTTCCAGATTACCCCCATATAACTGGTAAGAACTGGTAATCATAGGTAACGGTAATAAGAATATTCATGTAATAACTATTTTTAGCGACTTGAACCCAATTGAGTACGTGTGGAAAGACATCAAGCACGCAGTTAGGGCTGCAAACACACAGGGGACCGCTGAGTTTGCACAAGCTGAGGCTGAGAGAATTATGACAACATACACAAAGGAACAATGGCAGAAACACATCAAACATGTGCACCGGTTCGTAAAACCAAGATTCGCTATTATGGGAATAATTCGCAATTTCTACATTATTATTGTAAATAGATTGGAGGACGAGTATTGGAAAAATGATGGACATTTTGATGACTTCCTTGATGACTTCCAAACACGTGTAGCTTCAGCCAACCCCATTCGAGTGAGTTCTTGGTGACAGTAAACTATTAGTAAAAAAATACATAACTTATACATAATATACAGATTACAGCAGCAGATGATGTGTCTGACGACGAAGATGAGGACCCTGACGATGTTGACGAAGTAGTTGATAGATTCCGAATGCAAATACACAATGATATTGAATACTCACAGGCTGGGGAAGAAGAAGACTTGCCTGAAGAAGAATGTGCAACTTCTAGGAGGAGATTAACCTTCCCACCAGAATCAACCTAGATTTTAACTTCAATGGATTCAATACATAATAAATATTATAAATAGTGAATCCGATTTGTACATAGTGTTAAGAATTATTATTCATTAAATTTGTACGAAATTTTCAAAAATATGCCTACCCCTCTCTACTTAACATTCTTGCAAAACTGAAAACTTTAAAATAATGTCCCGTTTAGTAAAATACAATAAGTTATTATTTGACCCTTCAGGGGCCCTTAACTCTTGACCTATACGTCACAAAAACCAAAAAATATTTTTCTGATTCCCCTGGTCCAGGGGATTAATTTGATACCCCATTCACCTTAGTTACCATGGTTACTATGTTGACCCTTCAGGGACCCTTAACTGTTGCCCGATAGGTCAAAAAAATTCAGGAAAATATTTTTATGCTTGCCCTTTGCCAGGGGATTAATTTGATACCCCACTTGCATGGGGTTACCATGGTTACTATTTTGACCCTTCGGGGGCCCTTAACTCTTGACCTGAGGGTCAAAAAAATCCAGAAAAATATTTTTTGGGTTCCCCTTGTCCAGGGGATTAATTTGATACCCCACTTGCCTTTAGTTGTGAGGGAATGATATTTAACCCTTCAAGGGCTCCTAGTTCACGACTCAAGGGTCATAAAAATTTATAAAAATATTTTTCTGGTTCCCCTGGTCCAGGGGATTAATTTGATACCCCATTTGCATGGGGTTATCAGGGAACGCTATTTGACCCTTCAGGGGCC